ACAAAGTGAATCATCAGTCTAGGTGGGAAATCAATATCCGTTGGGCCACCTCGTAGGGGCAAAATAGTGTGTCGAGTGTTCGGGGTAATCATCAATCAGCGGTGAATGTCGAGCAAGTATTGGAATCGAGAGAAAGGTTGTCTAAATCTGTTTGTCAATTGAGTTGAGAAAGTCCGAAACGGCGGTCCAGTAAAGCAAAGGATCAAGGATAATTCACAAGAGGGCCGAAAATGGTAATTTCTAGAGTGTAAGTCGTTTTCGTCGCCGTGGAAAGGCACGAGCTATCAACAGCTGACAAGATGAAACACATTCCGCCTTGTATTGTGACGACATTATCGCAGAATACAGCCTAGGACACATAGCTACTGGCACTCGCCTTATTATTCTTTCGTCATTGTGTATCGTGCGTATCCAGACATTAGGGGATAACCGATGGTGACAGCCAGCAGCAAGAGCAGCAAGAGCAACAATGACTCGTACAGCACCCACATGATTCCCACCCTTCCAGACACAGAAAATGCGGAGACAGACGAAACAGAGTTAGTTGGTTGGGCAGTGAGGCGAACGGCACCAAAGAGACTAACACCAACGACATCTTGACTCGCAAACTGGAAAGGAATGGTGGTGAAGGAGAACGTGTGACTTTAAAAGAAGATAAGAAAGTAAACATGATAGTGAAGAGAAAGTACTCCAACTATAGACTCGATAACGGGTACACAGTAAGTTGTGACAAGACGCTGGCTGTTCGCTGACCCATCGTGCCTTCCTGTACAGCGTGTAAGCCAAGAGCAGTCGTTCCCGCCACAGTCGACCCCCGCGATCAGGAATAGGGGATCCGGCAATGTGGGAAGGTACCGAAACACTCGAATCTTTTGGTGTATAGAGGAGGGCTGTACGTATCGCAGGGTTAAGTACCAGGTAGTCTCAGGACGTTTGTCCAGAGCAGTGTCACCTCTACACTCCGAGTGGTTTCCTGGACATGTTTACACGGCCTTCGGGTACGCAGAGCCAATGCCCCTTGGAGACGAGTACGGGAGGGGTGACGAACCAAAGCACAGGTGGGTGAAAGAGCGACCAGGCCCCAAGCTGCTAAGATAGCCGACTCGCGTGTTTGGGAACGTCAACCGAGCTTGAAGGTGATACTTCCTGGTAGACGTCTCCGTCCTCGTCGTCTCCTACCCTTTATATAGCTTCCCCTCTAAGCGCGCCGGCATCGAAGGGTCAGACGGGTTCTCGATAATTTCCTTCTCGTTTTACCCACGCTTGCTTCCTTCTCCGCATCCTTCCCTCCCCATCTCCATCAAGGTCCTCAACTCAACATACCCATTTCTTGCCTTCATACACACCCGCTGTCTCTAACCATGGCCCTTCCCAAGACCATGCAGGCGGGCCAGTGGGACCCAAAGTTGAACAAGGTGGTGGTCAATGAGGTGCCGGTGCCGACGCCCGGCCCCAACCAGTTCCTGGTCAAGATCAAGAGCGCGTCGCTGTGCCACAGCGACCTCATGAACATGGAACGCGCCGCCTGCGACTATCCGGTGACGATTGGCCACGAGGGCGTCGGCCACATTGTGTCGTTCCACCCGTCGGCCGAGGGCAAGGGCTTCCAGACGGGCGACGCCGTCGGCTTCGGCTACTTTGTCGACTGCTGCTTTGAGTGCGAGGGCTGCATGGTGCACAACTCGCACTGCCAGCTGGGCACGGCCAAAATCCAGGGCTTCAACGCGGACGGCTTCTTCGCCGAGTACGCCGTCGTCGACTACCACAACGGCATTGTGCTGGACGAGGCGGCGTGGGACCTGCGCACGGCGTCGGCCATGTTCTGCGCCGGCATCACGGCCTTCAACTCGGTCGACTCGTGCGAGGCCACGGCCGGCGAGTGGCTGGCCGTGGTCGGCTGCGGCGGCCTGGGCCAGCTGGCCACGCAGTACGCCAAGGCCATGGGCCTGCGCGTCATCGGCATCGATGTCGCGGACGCCAACCTCGCGGAGACGCGCAAGCAGGGCGCCGAGGTCACGTTCAACTCGCGCACGAACCCCAACTACATTGACGAGATCAAGAAGCTGACGGGCGGCGGCGCGCACTACGCGGCCGTGTACACCAACGTGCAGCCGGCGTTTACGAGCGCGCCCCAGGTGCTGCGCATCGGCGGCACGCTCATGGTGGTGGGCATTGCCCCCAAGCCGCTGGAGGTGACGGCGATGGAGCTGGTGCTCGGCGTGTACAAGATCAAGGCCGACAGCACGGGCATTCCGCAGCGGATCCCCAAGGCGATTGAGTTCTCGGCCAAGCACAACATCCGCCCTGTGGTGGACGTGCGCGGCGGCCTGGACAAGCTCGAGGGCATGGTGCAGGAGATGAAGGAAGGCCGCAACACCATGCGGACGGCGGTTGTTTTTGATTAGGCCGTCGGGAGACTACGATGACAAAGTACCAATGTAAGTAGCGTTGCAGTCTGTACATAGCTTAAACGACATGGGATCATCGGCCGGCTTGGAAGTGAATGCAATCCAGTGACTCGATACTCCGAGATGGAGATACACCTATGCTCCGCGCTCGGTAACTTGTGTTCGTCGTACGTGGCCGTCGTACGTTGTCTCAGTTCTCTGTTTGTGATTTATTTGTGAAACATAATCTACGAGAATCAATAAAGTACAAGCAAATTTTTCTACTGCGTGGTGAAGCCGCCATCCGAAATCAGCGCCGCGCCCTGCATGAAGCTGCTCATGCGCGAGGCCAGGAACACAATGGCATCGGCAATCTCCTCCATGGCGCACATGCGCTTGAGCGGCGTGCGCGCAATGTCGATGCCCAGCGGCGAGTCCGGGTTGGTGCTCATGTTGCGCAGCAGCAGCGGCGTCTCGACATAGCCCGGGCAGATGCAGTTGACGCGGATGTTGTGCGGGCCGTATGTGTTGCCGTCGCCCTTGGTCAGGCCGACCACGCCGTGCTTGGCCGCCGCGTACGCCGTCTGCGCCATGAGGCTGCCGGGCGCCACGATGCCGTACATGGACGCCGTGTTGATGATGCGGCCGCGCCCGTCGCGGGGGCCCCGGTCCTCTTGTTTGACCATCACGGCCAGCTCTTCCTTCTGGCAGCGCCACACGCCGTCCAGGTCAATGTTGATGACCCGGCGCCACTCCTCCTCGTCGACCTCGTGGGTCGGCTTGCCGGAGCCGCCGATGCCCGCGTTGTTGACGGCAATGTCGAGGCGGCCAAACTTGGCGACGACGGCGGCCACGGTGGCCTTGACCTGCTCGCCGCTCTGGACGTCGACCTGCAGGCAGAGGACGTTGACCTTGGGGAACTGCGCCTGGAGCTGCTTGCTGGTCGTCTCCAAGGCCTCGAGGTTGATGTCGGCCAGCGCCAGGTTGGTGATGCCGTAGCGGGCAAACGCGAGGGCCGTGTATTGACCGATGCCGGACGCGGCGCCGGTGATGAAGGCGGTTCCCTGAACGAGGCCGGCCATTGCGGGGGTTGGGATTTGTATGGAAAGATAAACCAAAAGAAAAAAAAAGAAAAAAAAAAAAGAAAAAAAGAGACAAAGGAGGTTGCGATACTACTGACTGTATCTCGTGAGTTGGAGACCCAGAATGCTGTACGAGTCCTTCGCAAACATATCTGCCACGTCCCGCAACTTGTTCTTCTTGTAGCTCCATCCCCATCTTCGTCCCCCCATTTCAGTGTTCTCTAACCGCGCACACCGTCACCGTGTAAATACAGCCTGTTCACAGCCCCTACGAAGCAACATCACCCACATTCGGCACCGTCTTTGTGCCCGATCTGCACCATCGTCTCTGAATGCACGGAACGACCTTGAACACTGTCCGTATCCCCTCTTTCTGTCTCCGACCATCCTGCTAAGGTGGGGAAGAGCACGAGTGCCTCGGAGATGGTGGGCTGAGCTCGACAATTAGGGGACGAAGCCGAGTCCCTGAAGTGCCGCCAGTGTCCAAGTGGCCCAGGCTCCTCTTTAGGCCTCTTGGGCAAACGTTAGTCCCTCGCAAGGTGCCACAGTCTCCGTAGTCTGCTTTTAGTTGGTTTTCCAGCCCACACTCCCCACACATGCTTTAAGCCTCTTCGGATGTGATTTCGCGGAGTGCAGTGGTGACCCCGATGTCGAGAGTTGAGCCCCAGACAAGCGCTAACATGATACTGTATTACGACGTACGGACCACGGTCGGTAAAAATGCAATTCCCGGGATTGTAAGCCCACTTGGCCCAGGCAAGCCGTGTGCAGTTTGTAAATCTCTACTACTAGAGAGTCATACAGAGTTTCTGAACAAGACCGTGAATGGTCTTATGCCTCCCGGTTGCAGAACGACAGATGGCGCAAGGCAAGAGATGAGATGTCTACATTGAAGCGGTTTTGGTCAGGCTGTCTATTGTGAGAGCATTTCGAGTTCGACACGGCTGACAAGGGTGAAAACGTAAGAGTGACGACTGCCGTACTGGTGAAGATGAACATGATATGAGACGCCAGTAGTCATGACGGTTGCTGAGAATGAGTGAATGGCCTTTTAAATGAAGTACAGAAAGAGAACGCGGAGAGTGAGTCAGGTGACAGATCTTGTGACAAATCCTGTGACTTAGCTTTCTGGTAACAATTGTAGTTCGTAAGATGAGACTGAACATGCGGCTCTGGTGGATCTGTAAGTTATGCAAGAGTCGAGATTCGTCGGCACATAAAGTGTTTCTTTAATATAGATCCGCTTAGCGACTGGGGCAGCACCAAAGGCTGGACACAAAACGTCGAAAGCGGAAAGCAGAACCGCGGAGGGACGTTCCGATGAGGACAGCACAGCAAAAGCAGAGGAAGTAGGGGAGACGAAATGAATAAAAGAAACGAGCACGGCGTAGACGAGGCGACGAAACCAAAAGGCGGACTGGCTTCATGTCATCGCTCAATTGACGTCCCTTGATCAATTGACGAGTTCGCTTGTTCCTTTTCTCTCCATTGTCCCCATAATCATTGTCGTCGACATCCCCATCCCATCACGATGACATTCTCTGTGGCCACCTTCGTCTCCTGGGCCGCTGCTGTCGCTGCATTCGGCGCGCACAACCCGCCGCCCAAGGGCGAGGTCACCAAAACCGACAACTTTGTCTGGGCCGATCCCTTCCACGACCACCGCCTCGCCAATAAGCTGACGGCTGCATGCACCGTAGAGAAGTCGTTTCGCGCGAGCGAGTTTTTGCTGCACGACCTCTATGAGCATCCGCCCAAGGGCCTGTGGAACTACGGCGACGCCCTCAAGACGTTTTTTAGTGGCCGGCCCTACCCGGGCGGCTGGGACGGACTGGACCCGCACATGTACGACCGCCCGCTGCTGCAGATGGACTATGCCGACGTGCCGGTCATTGTGCGGGAATGGATCGAGGCAGGCGAGCGGTACGAGAAGGGAGGCGGCGACGGAGACAAAGACCGAGACGACGACGACGAAGACGACGACGAGGAAGGCAAGGCCTTGGCGGGCCGCAAGAACCTGTTTGCCGTGTTTGAGCGCGCCGAGGGCCAGACGAAGATCACCAAGACCGTCGCGCCGCCCAAGACGGCCGCCAAAGCGGCCATGTTGCGGCCGCTCGACGCCAAGCGCATCGTGGTTTTTGCGCCCGGGGCGCTGTACAGCATCCTGCCGCTGTGGGTCGCGACCGATGCGGCGGCCGACGACGCCTGCCGGAAGCAGCTGCTCAACCTCGACCTCTACAGCCCCAAGCCCAAGGACGGCGGCGTCATTGCGTGGACGACGCAGCACACGGCGCCGGACCGCGACAAGATCCACCGCAACATGACCTTTACCATCAAGGCGCAGACGTTGCAGGCCGCGGGTGCGGCGTCGTTTGGTGGAAAGGAGGAGTTGTAAGGGAGACGAAGGTATGGCACGAGACGTCGATCAAGACCAAGGACGTCAGGGACAAGCGAAGAGTGGGCGGTGTCGAATCTGTTTGGGGGACATAGAGTGCGACGAAAGCAAAGACATAGAATTTCAACACATTTACACCGAAGTGGCAAGGACCCTCAGCATCGTGGTTCCACAGCCGCAGTGCGCTAGACCAGAACTGTTTGCCTCAAGCGTCCCCCGTAGTTGTCCAAGTGGGCTCCTGTAAATCCGGGGTAACAGGGGTCACTTTGGCATCATCGATCTCGAAATCCATCGTCCTCAGGCTCTGAGCACAACCGCTGGTAATCACATAACCAGCCGAGTCCTTTTCGTAGGCGAGGATCTCCGCCTTATTCCAGTTTCCTTCGTTTTCGTCGCCTCAGCCACACGCAAGGCCCAATGAGGCGCCGAGGACCAAAGGCGTTTCTCGAAGGCACTCGAGGCGCTTTCGTTCTGACCAATGTGGCCGAGGCCATCGCCCTCTCCCTCTCTTCGTCTTTCTCCCAATGCGAACAAATTTCAGCGAATCGGAGTACCCCGATGCCGGATGCGTCACTGCCATTGGACAGTCACAGCCTGCCCGTTAGGTCTCGGTAACCCCATGCGCTAGTCAAAAGCAAAGAAAACAAAGCGCCAAAAGAACAAAGCCCACCAAATGTACCCCAGATTGTAGCCTTTCGTGACTCCCCATGGCCCTGCCACGCTGTCCCGCATCCAAGCCCCATATTTGTCAGACGGTCAGACTAGGCAGGGAGGAGTAAATAGGAATGTGGGAGTCGCTGCACCGCCCTGTTTCCTGGCGTCCGAGCCTAAAAAAAAATCCAAAACCGAGATTTTCATTCTTTCGCTTTCTTTTCTGACGCGAACGAAAACAAGAAAGCACGATTACAAAAACCTAGCACCCTATAAATACATCATCCACTCTCAACTCTTTTCATCTTCTCCATACATCCCACAAGACCTCAACTTGCATCTACTACACTTGCCTACAAACAACTTCTACGATCTCAACCACCTGGCTCGATCGAGTCGCGACAGACACCTTCTTACAACCGTCACCACCACTCGACCTCACCACCTAGCAATGGCCCGCAGCTTCAAGGCCCGCCAGAGCGGCGGCACCAACCCCCAGACACCTCCCAACTGGACCGACATGGTCCCCCACAAGTACTGCGGCGCCATGGATCTCGGCCGCGTCGGCAAGGACAACAAGGCACAAAAGTGCGCGGCGTGCTTGACCGTCAAGGCACACCTGGACGGGGCAAACGACCGCGCAACAAAGCGCCGGCGAGAAGAGAAGATGTCGTACGCGATGGGCTTTGACTAAAGGACGAGTCGAGCGAGAGACGCGAAGCGTCGACGCGAGAGTCGTTCATTAGCGATGGACTAATACTGCTTACATCGCCAACGACATCTCGCGGGCATTCTTGCGAGCATCCTTGCGAGCATCCTTGCGAACATCACCGCGAGCGTTGACCATCCAACGCATGCACATGGAATAATGAGAACCGCGTATACGGCGTTTGGGACATCTTTTTCATTTATCATTATCACGACACAACGGAACACGACATTCTCGATACCCTACAACTCGCGGAAACACATCACACCGCCACTCGTGGCTGCGCAACCAGCGACCCGAGACATTACAGAAACACACAAAAAACAGAGTTTTGCATTGTTTGACCGTTCTTTTCGCTTTGGGCACGGGAAGCCAGGGAGAATACGCATGGATACGAAACGTAGGCGCTGACCGCCTTTTTGCTTTTTGCTTTTTACATTTTGCTTCTTTTGCTTGGGTTACATTCTGCATGTGTCACGGCCAGGCTGCAGAGCGCGTGCCGCCGACTTGCATATAGAACTAGAAATACAGTTTTATCGACAGATACACTTTGTTTGCTCTCGTCAAAAATTTTGCTAAGTTCGAGTCAGTTTCCTCGCTCGTTTCTCTCGTGATAGATGTTCTCGTGATTGATGCTCTGGTGACGTGAGTTAGGCTGACAATAGTGGCGCCTGTCTTCTATGGGCACCCCTAACGCTACCAAAAGATGGTAGCTGTGCGATTAGTGCTAGGTAGAAATACAGGGCATAGCGCGCTGTGGAGTGGCACGGTAAGGCTGGTTACAGGGCAGCCACGCAAAACTCGTGATATGACGTCATGTTCCGAGCGGCTCTCTCAACGACATTGTTCTATGCTTGACTTGTATTCTGTAATAGAGTCAGTAATACATTTATATCGTACCCAAAACATAACAAGTCGCAGATCATTAGAATGGGCTTTTGAAAGTGCTTGTAGTCTCTCTATTGCCTCCACTCTATGCGTCCGTATCCTTACGGTAAGAGTCATGCAGGCTCGACACCGTCTGTTTACCACCCCTATTCATCAAATATTCAAAAGGTCAACATTGTTACATGTAAATGAATATGTTCTAAAGTCTACGATGTATCTGGCTACTACTGTCGTTTTCCATTAAATGAGTATGGACCTCAACAATCGTCGAGCCTTCTCTGTTTTACGAGAGCAAAGAGCCTCGAATCAACTCGTTTACAAATATTTGTTTTATTTGGCTTCGAATACCTCTCGTAGTACCATACCCCAACGCCCAAGAGGCCAATATCGTTTGTGCATTTACATCTTCATCGTCGCGTCCACTTGGGGTATCGAGATCTTCCCGCTCTAGCACCGTGCGCGCGCCCTGGCCATGAAAGTGTCGTTGCTAAAGCGGTTTGTCATCTTACGAAGTTGGGTTTTATTTTGCGTTTTCTCGTCCATTTGCTGCCTCGATACCTCGTTGCTTTCAACAGTGAGCTTAGTCAATAAACAAAAGATATACGAGCAATACTGAATAAAACACAAAAAGCGAGTTCTGCAGTATAAAATATTATAATAACATAATCTGAAAACAAATAAAACTTTGCAGCACAATGGTTGCACTTGCTGCGAAAACCCCAAGCGGTATCGTCGCTCCTTCCCTATCGTGGTATTGACTAGTCGTTCCTTCCTGATTTCCTGATTTCGCAGTAACTACCACGCCACGCCATAATGTAAACAAACCGCAACGCCTGCATCTCGTCTCCTTTGCCTATTTTCCCTCTCCGTATATTTTTTCCTTTTCTTTGGCTCTTCTTTTCCTGTATGTCCCATCCGGCGCATGCTCCCCTTTACATCAAAGGCCTCGACTTCGCTAGCGGAAAGGCAGATTGCTTCATCGCCGCGTCCAGCTGGCGCGCTCGGTACCGCTGCTGTCGCTTTTTGTACATATTTTCGGCCATGAAACATCCGATGCTGACGAGAATGACAACGAGGACCACGAGTCCAGCCACGATGCCCGCTACTTCCTGCGTGCTGAGCCCCGAGGCGTCGGTCACAAGCGCAGCCTCGCCGTTGTCGCTCGTATCGCTGCTGCCGGTTCTTGACGCTTCAGCACCAAGAGCCGTCCCAATCAAACTCGGATTGCTCGATACGGTGGCCTGGGTCGACGCCGGCGTGTTTGTTGCTGGCCGCGAGCTGACGGACCCGACATTCGTGGCGGAAGGTGCAAACGTCGACCCCGTGGGCACCTGGCTTGCGCCATTAACGGTCACTGTCACGAGGGTCACAACACCGCCAAAGCCGACGGAAACGGACACCGAGGTAAAGGGTCCGGATTGGCCAACACGTGGAAGCTCGGCCGAGCCGCCTGAAGACGGTGAGGAGGAAGAAGACGCCCCAAACAATGCGGGCACCTGAACCGCATTGGGGTGATTCGGCCAGTTGGCACAGCAGTTGGCCGTCGTGGACGAGCCAGCCGATCCACAGCACCACTGCGTCGTCTGGTTGGAGCCCCCGCACGGGGTCAAGGCCGCGTTGTCGCCCGTGACCGAGGAGCAAACATTGCGGAGACACCCTCCAGACCAGTCTGGTTGCGTGCACGAATCCCGGCTGAACAGTGCAGGCGTAGCCGCGCGGCCCGTCTGCGCGTCGGCGAGTTGCAGTTGGCAGAGACCGTTGGCGAGGCAGATGTCGGGCCCGGTGAACTCAAGCTGCTGTTGGCCGGACGCATTTTCGGTGAGTGCGCTGTCGTCACCATTGGTGGCTTGTCGTTCTTTGACTCGACTTGGTTGACGACCGAGATTGCAGCACATGCTCGCGCTGTTGCTGTTCGCGCCGCTCTGAAGGCACGGAACGACGCCCGGATCGGTCACTGGTGAGCCATCGAGGTTGAAACACTGTGCAGTGATGCCAGGCACCAGGCCTGACAGGACGAGGAGGGAGAGAAGGCGATAAGTTGCCAGAGACCTTGATATCGACTTCATAATGGTACGTGTTTGCTGTTTCTCGTCAGGACCGCAACTGTTGAAGCATGGCTTATTATTTCTCGTGTGAAGCGATACACAGCAAAACGACGTCGACTTGAGGTGAAAAGAAAGGGACTGATAATGGCGGACTTGCGGCGAACAAAAGAAATTCAGGCCACAGCAGAACATCGCTTGAATATGCTGCGTCCCAAGATTTGCATTTTCGAAGCACCCCGTACCCAGCATCGTCCTGAGAATATCATCTTCGTCGGAGAATTTCCATTTTACCATTCAACCTCCCGCCCAGGGGGCCTTTGAATTGTCAACTACAAAACCCACGTCCCGACTTCGACATGGACACTGGCGACGGGCTCCTACTGTCTCGACATCTCCTACACAACCTTTGGTTTATCCGGGTGATCGACACCGAGGTAAAATGGCAAGGTAGACAGCCGCATCACCAGCTTTCATGTTTCGGTGTCGGGAGGGGATGAACAACGCAGAGAGTCGTCGAGGGCAGATGGGAACAAATCGTCAAAGGTTAATTGTGTCCTCCAGATTATTGCCACTTGACCCCAGTTTTGATGTTCGTCTCATGTCACGATCAGCCGGAGGGGCTGGGCATGTTCGACATTCTGTCTCGCGCCTCTCCCGCGCACGAGCCCACACCCGAGCGTTTGTTCATACAGAGAGATGGCTGTTAT